TACATACAGTTACTCTTAAAAACTACATAAACTTCATTACATATTGTTAATCGACGTACATGGTTTATGTAAATCAAATATCAAAAGTTTGCGGCTGGTTTGAGTTTATATTCACTTGAAGCTTTAGAAAGGAGAAGAAATATGGCTATAAATTAGCACTGAAATCAAATTGTTTACACCTCTCATACAGAGGAAAATTATTAAATGATAACCATATTATAAATCAGGTTGAAAAATATACTTTCTATAAAGTCTTAACAAATATTACTGACTAGGTAGGTAATTAAAACATCTTATAAGATATTTTATATGTATACTTATACTATTATAAATCAAGTTTAAACATTTACTTTCTATACAGTCTTAACAAATATTACTGACTAGGTAGGTAACTAAGACATCTTATAAGATATTTTATATTTGTACTTTGGTTATGTTAAAAAGTTTTTTTGAATTTTCGTATTTTATAATAACTTTAACCAAACTCGGCATGTGGATAGAGGTACCCGAATGGAGTCCTCAGGCTGGCAGACGGAAGTGAAAAGAAGTTCAAATATGCGCACATAGTGCACACATTTTTTTTTTTAATTAAAAGCTAAAAGCTTTAATACAAAAAGATATAAAACTTGAGACAACTCAATCCAGCAATATTATAAGAAGTTGAAAATATTGAAACTAAATTGTGTACACACAATGTTGAGTTTAGTTATGCTTTTCGAATGAAATCTTTTCATCAAAATTTTGATTCGAATTAGTCTAATAGAAAAATTCACGTAACAGTGTAAGTTGTTAATTTATTATGTTAGGATGATTTCATATACAGGGTGGTCCAAACTATATTCCGGAAACTTCTACAGATAAAAATCAGTAAAAAAGTTCCTACAAACGTATGTTCTAAAATTCTTAGTTTCGGAGATACCGGTTGTTGAAATTTCATTTTATTTCGATTTGTTCCAAATAATTTCTGAAGTAACGTCAATATTTGGATGAAAATTGGTGCCTACAAATTTTTTGACATGAAAAATTTCATTTTGATATCAATATGACTCCTGTTTGTAGAAGGCGCCATCTAAGAGTAATAGCTTTTCGTCCGTACCTATATAAAACTACTGGGTAAAAAATATACATTTATGACGTTTTTTACGTAAAAAAGTCTCTTGATATTACTACGAGTAATGGTTTACGAGATATTTGGAATCGAAATTATCAATACCTGTCATCATTGACATAAATTAAACATGTTGATTGATTAGTTATTAGACTGAAATCATAAATTTCAAATGACTTTGTCCCAAAAGTTCAATAGAAACTGTTTTATCATCATTTTTTCTGTTCCCAAATTCATTATTTCAGTCAAATAACTATCTACTCAGCATGTTTATTTTGTGTCAATAATAAGATATATTGACTGCTAAATATCTTGAGAACGGTTGCTCGTAACAATTTTTATCAAAAGACATTTTTTACGTAAAAAATCATGGAAATGTATATTTTTCACTCCCTAGTTTTATACAGGTACGGACAAAATGTTATTATTCTTCAAAACAGTTAAAACACATGTAGGTAGTGCCCCCTACAAATAGGAGTCATATTGACATGAAATTCAATTTTATCATGTCAAAAAACTCCCAGACACTAATTTTCATCCAAATATTGACATTACTTGAGAAATTATTTGGAAAAAATCGAAATAAAAATGAAACTTTTAAACTCTGTATCTCCGAAACTAAGCGTTTTAAGACGTACATTTATACGAACTTTTTTACTTATTTTTATCTGCAGAATATGCTGCCGAAGTATCCGGAATACAGTTTTAGCACTTAACGATAGTTCGTTTAAATCTTAAAAACTTTTCCTCGAAGTCAAAAATTGTTGATTAAAATCGGGACTTAAGTAGGACATTTTAAGCATTTTATGGTTGTTTAAAATCTGCGAAAATAATTAAGCACTTAACAAATTACATTTGTACCGATGGTATGGTAGGTAAATACATCTTAACACCGATCGAAATAATCGTCTTCGAGGCAATCGTAGTGCCCGAACCTGAAACAAAAGAAGACCGGTTCTGGCCTTGGCCACTGGAGTTACTCGGAGGAGAGAAGTAAGCCGAGCCGCTGCCTCTTTGTTCTTTTTTTTTTGACAGCCCCCGGGGTCGCGTTCGCCCGATCGTGATTATTTCGAGTGAACGGAAGGGGGAGCGGCGAGGGGACGCCTGATGTGCCTCTTGCTGTGCAGAGCAAGGTTGCCGAATTTCCGCCAACGTTGCAAAGTTTACCAATAATGCACATTATAAATAATAAAAAATATATTATCCCATCAAAAACACAGAACGTAAAAAATGCCAAGTCTCGCAACACAATTCTTCCACTATAAAAAGTTGCGAGATCTCATGTATAACCAATTCCGAACTGCCGTACAATCTTTTTCTCGAAGATATTAGCGGCACTTTTCACCACCCTGTAACGTCGTGGTGGATAAAGCAAAAATATTAATTTTCACTACACCCCAAGCAACACACAATGGTATATTATACGTTTAAACTGATCTAATACCGTCCGTCTTATCTAGGTATACGACAAAGAATGTTAAACGTATAATAAACTGCAAAATGTCCGCGACTTCAACGTATATATTTAAGGTTTCTATATTCCTTTTATAATCGTATATACATATACCAATATTATGCAAGATGGTAAACGTATATTAGCAATTTATGATATACTAGGATTACACGTAGACCCAATACGTGTATTAAATGTTATTTTTCTTTATAAATTTATACGTGAAACAGAACCGTTTATTAAATGTTATATTTACATACAAATTTATACGTATCCAGGAAATGAAATTTAGCAATATAACCACCTAGCATTATTGTTTTTCATTAATATGAAAGATTCTTGAACCAGTATAAACAAACCTTAGGTTACTCAAGAAATGCTACCCCCACAATGGTGACATAAATTATACCCTATAACCCCTTTATATAACATAATATTGCAATCTTTAAGTAACCTAAAATTAAAAAGTTTGTTTTTACTACTTCAAAAATTCTTCCTATTAATAAAAACAATAATGCTAGGTGGTTAAATTACTAAATTTAATTTCCTAATACATTTTTTATGGTTAATGGTAGGATTTGTTGTAATGAATAAGTATAAAAAAAATTAATTGGAAATCTTCTTTAATAACATCTTAAAAATTGGAGACATATACCATTGAGTGGTGTAAATACACCAGTCGTTTAGTCCGGAAACCTATGCTGTGTCGTATTCGCTTGCTGGAATGACATAGTGCGTGGTTATATGTTTCTTTTTAAAAACGGGTGTAGGATTTTTGTTGAACTTTTGAACTGTTATTTCTAAGTTTTGGTAATTTGTATATCTTATTTAAAATGGGATACAAATGTGTTTATTTATAAGGAAAAAAAAGATATTTATAGTATAAAAAATTAATTTATTTAACAAAATTTAATTAAAAATGTGACAAAATAGTACCTTTCTATTGGTTCTATCGGACTTTTTTCTTCTTCTTCTTCTTCTTCTTTTAGAAGGCGTATCGCCTGTTTAGTTCCGGTTTCCTCCTCGTCTAAGCAACTCTTGCGAGGTTGACTGCCAACTGTCTTGCCAACGTTTAGGTGGTCGTCCAGTAGGTCTTCTGCCATGGGGTACGTTGTTGCGAATTATTATGGCCATTCTGTCGGGGCCCATTCTATTGACATGCTGGTTCCATTCTCTTCTTCTCTGCCTTATCCATCTGACAACGTCGTTTGTTTGGCACTTTTCTCTTATGTCTACATTTCTCTGTCTGTCCCTCAATGCGTATCCAGTTATCATTCTTAAGGTCTTCATTTCAGTAGTTCGTAGGATTCTCTTTGTTACTGAAGTTTCAGCTCTGGTTTCCGCACCATATGTCATCACTGGTCGTATGCAGGTTTTGTATATTCTTGACTTACATTCTGTACTCAAATGTTTGTTTTTCCATATGGGATATTTAAGATGTCCTGATATTGCGGCAGCTTTATTGGCTTGTTTCCTTACTTCTTCTTCCAGGAATCCTGAGCTTGTAATTTTGCATCCGAGTGACATTATCTGATCAATAGTTTTGTTTTTTATTACCAATTTGCACCGTAGAGGCTCCTTTGTAGTGGTCATGCATTTGGTGTTATTTGTGGAAATTTTAAGTAAGTAAATAATAAGTTTTAATAAGTTTTTCTGACTGTCTGTTAAAAGCTTGTAGCATTCTTTGGAGGTCGTCCTCTGACTCTGCAATAAGTTCTGCGTCATCGGCATAGCATAATATGTTTACTTTATGCATTCCCATTCGATATCCTAATCCAGTATTCTTGACGGTTTTTATTACCTGATCCATGATTGTGTTGAATAACAGAGGGCCGAGGTTGTCGCCTTGGCGAATACCAGTTGTAGTTCGAAGATGCTGCGTTAAGGTAAAATTTGTTCTTATTTGGGTTGTTGTGTTTGTGTTTAAGTCCTTGATAAGTTCTGTGAGTTCTTTCGAGACATTACTGCTTTCCAAGATGGTGATGATGTCTTTTAGTTGGACTCTATCAAAGGCCTTTGTTAAATCTATAAAACATAGATAGGCTGGAGAGTTATATTCTAACGACTTTTGAACTAGTTGCCTGAGTATGAATAGTGCATCGGTAGTTGATCGGTTTCTTCGGAATCCTTGTTGTTCCTCGCTTATTGGCACTATTGAGGAGATTTTGTCCGCAATGATCTTAGTCAGAAGTTTTAGCGAGGTGCTCAGTAATGTTATTCCTCTATAGTTTGCTGGGTCTGTTTTATCTCCTTTTTAAAAATGGGTATTGTTATACTTTGTTTCCATTCTTCTGGTATTTTCTTATGTTGTAATATAATGTTAAACAGTTTTGTGTATTCCTCTATGATAGCCATGCCTGCGTTTTTTATTAGCTCGTTTGGTATTTTATCTTGATTAGGAGATTTTCTATTTTTAAGTTTCCTTATTGTCTCTTCTACTTGCTTGTAAGTGATTTGCGCATGATCTTCTGTATTATCTCTTTGGCTTGTCTCTTGTGCTTCCATTGGTTCATCAGTTTCTGCGTATAAGTCTCTGAAATATTTTTCCCACGTATCTTCTGCAATTGTTCTTAGTTGCATTGTTTCATTTGTTTCTTGTTTCAAACCCCTCAACATCTTCCAAATACGTTTTTGTGCTCCATCCGACTCCATTTCACTACTAAATCGCTGCCAATATTCTTCTTTAATTTCTCGTACTCTATTATTAGTCCTGCTCCTTATTTCGGTATAGATATTTCGGCTCTCCGGTGTTGGAGATTTCTTGTATTGTAAGTATTTTTCCTTATTTTCCCTTGTAATGTTCTTGACTTCTAATGTAAACCAAGGTTTAATGTTCGGTCTTCTATTGTGTGATACAGTACGTGTTCCTAAAGCTTCTTTAGCACCTTTGCAGATGTTTTCTTTCAGTTTGTTCCAAGCTGTGTTAGGAGTATCAAACTGTACTATGGAGTTAAGAGTGACATGTGTTTGGCATCTGTTTGAATAAAGTTGTTGAGTGCTTTCGTGGTTGAGGGATTCTATATTGAATTTTTCAGTTTTTATCGATGGTCTTTTTTTGGATAGCGGCGCACCTATTCGTATCTTTCCTAGCACAAGTTTGTGATCTGTTCCAATGTTGGCTGAGGATAAGATTCTTATGTCTATTATTTGTTGAGGTAAGAAACTTCGATTGGTGATGACATAATCGATTATTGATTTATTGTTTCTATTGTCATAGAAGGTGTATTTGTGTTGTTCTTTATGGGGAAAATATGTCTTGTTTATTCTCAGTTCGTTCTGTCCACAGAATTCGGTCAAAATTTCGCCATTTCTATTAGTTATATTCTCGTTATATTTTTGTTTTATTCCATCCACTACCTCGTTTCCAATTCTTGCGTTTAAATCCCCTAACAGAATTATCTTTTCATGTCTTGGTATTTTGTCTATCGCAGGACTTTTTTCGACTATATAAATCTTTATTTGTAAACTTTAATACATCAAATATTTTCTATCTAATAAATCATTTAATGATGTAAATAAGAGGAAATTTCTCACATGGGTGGTCAAATTCTATAGTTTTCATTATATCAAACAGCCTCTGAGAAATGTTTTCAACTCAAAATGCCTTTAATTATGTTTGACTACATCAATTAAAAGGGTCTTCAAATACATCAATGTGATATTTGTCTAAAATTTGCAAAAGAATCCGAATCTCTGGATAACTCGAAATTATTTACCCATTTAAAAGCCTTTGATCATGAAAGTGGAAAAATTTGTTCATTTTATTTACTGGAAATGGAAAAATTATTTATATTAAATTTTGATGAGTTTTGCACTGAAGAAAACATTCAGAGGCTGTTTGATATAATGAAAACTATAGAATTTGACCACCCATGTGAGAAATTTCCTCTTATTTACATCATTAAATTATTTATTAGATTGAAAATATTTTATGCATTAAAGTTTACAAAAAATAAAGATTTATATAGTCGAAAAAGCCCGATAGAACCAATAGAAAAGTAACTATTTTGTCACATCTTTAATTAAATTTTGTTAAATAAATTAATTTTTTATACTATAAATATCTTTTTTTTCCTAATCTCCTACGAACTGATATAATATGACGAGCAATCTATTAAATTACTGTGAGATTATATGCCTCGATAACATATTGGTGCAGATTATTTTCACCCAAACAAATAATAACTCAAACTATACATTGATGCGGATTGTCTATAAACTCTTTCTGAAGGTCACAGAAACCTGAACGCGTAATTCGGTGTTCTTTCGCATCTGTTGTAGTTAATTTGTGACAGGGGCATGTAAACGGTATACAGTATACGTTTACAAAACCTATGCTCAGCACTGCAAAAACTTGTCATTGAACATGAACATATTCATGCAATATAAAAATATACATAAATACCTACATGTGAAGTTAAATAAAAGCTTATAATTGATAAATTTAAAACTTACCCTCAATTCTGTTTCCAAAGGAAAAAAATGACGGAAAAAAAATCCTAAAAACACTACAACGCGTAATACGTAAGTAACAGAGCCTAAGTGTACTTTCTCTTTCTTCTGCAATTAAACTTGAACTATAAATTGTGTAAAAGGAGTAGCTGGATATACCATATTTATGTCTTTAGGAAAAGTATTATATTAAATAACGCACCTTATATTGATATCAAACATCAATGTGTGGAGACAATGGCGTCTTTACCCTTGATCACGCTTATGAATACCCTGAGCCGAGATGTTTCATAGAAGACGCAACGTGATTGGATAGATTTGATCATGTGACAATATTTTGTAGTGTCGAGTATAAGTTTCATATACGTATACCATATTCCATTTAGATTCCATCTGCTGTAAAAAGTCTAACGATATGATTGGTAGATCTAATCACGTGACTAGATTTTATAGTGTCTAATAAACGTTTCGTATATGTAGTCTATATACCATTTCTGTATAATTTATTGATACTGGTTATATACGTTTTTGAAATTCAGTTCTTTTCAATATTTTTATATTGGAGTTCAAATTTATCAAAGAATCACAAAAAACAGTCTGATAATGACTTACTATGCCCTTTGTGTCTGAACTTTTCAAAAACTACGAATATAACTGACTTGGTGCCAAAATCGAAATATTATATACCTACTTTATATAATATTTCTTTCGAATATACGTTAAAAAGCAGTATAATAATGTTCAGTATAATAAACGTATATAGTAAGATTAACGGAAAATAAAGACCTTTAATATGCGTATATTATACGTTGCATATAAAAAAGTAATATGAAATACGTATATTATTTATACCTTTAAAAAAATATACGTTATTTATTCGGATGGTACGTTTATTAAACGTATATACTCTTGAACGGTGTTGCTTGGGACATGAGGACATACTATAGCTGGCTAGATTACAACAATAGCTAGTAATCTAGTAACTGGTAGCACTCTAGTTATTTTAAGTGCGATTTTAGATGATCCAGCGACTGGTAGCATCTTTGTTATTTTAAATGGAACACTCAGTATATTATTACATTTTTGGAAACTACTCTCTTATAGTTTAGTTTTACTATCTCGTATAGTTTTTGAGATAAAAAATAAAATATATTATGTGTAAAATTGACAAAAAAATAATTTTTAATAATCATTGGTAAAAACATTTAAACATTTTTAAAGTTGAAATCTGAATGTCTAATATTGATTCCAACAATTTATAACAAAACTGTTGCATATTAAAGAGAAACTAAATAAAATAAACTGATTTGGTTTTACACGAGATCTCACAACATTTTGTAGTGGAAGAATTATATTCTTGCTTATATATAAGACTTGGCATTTTTTTACATTTTATGTTTTTGGTGGGATCTTATTTCTTTTTGTAGATTATCCTCCTCGGATAATATATAATTCAAAATAATATTAAAGAAGTTTGACTAGCAATAATTCATAAACTTTGAATTATTGTATAAAGTCAGATGATATCAAATAAATGAATTAATTCTAGTTTTCTAACGGCTTGTGTTTCCGACTTTCGTTGTAACCCAAATTTCAGCTTTAAAAATGTTTTCAAAAAAAATTTCTCAAAAAACAATCCCGAATTTTATTTTATATAACACCGTTTATTTTATATAACACGAAAAGCATTATTTAAATGAAAAATTATAAATAATACGATGGCATTAGAAATTGCTTAAAAAATAGGAAATATAGAAAAAATTGAGACGAATTGGGTACTCAGAACCTTGACAAAGGCACTGTGTTTAATTATCGTCGTTTATTTGGTTTGTACCATCGTCGATGGAAAGTCGGGGGTCAGACAGAATGCATCGATGGAACATTGTTTCTTCAAAGAATCTTATTCACCAACAAAAAATCAGGATAGAATAGAAAAAAAATACGCTAATATGAATATGAATATGAAAATGAATATAATCGTCATCAATAGGCCTTCTTTTTTTATCTAAAGTATAAACAAAAAATAATTAACATTAATAACAATAATTATTACATTACTCTTGGATTTTTTTTACCTGACCTTACTTCAACATAGCTATCAAATTAGTTCCACTTTAAAACCTCGTTATCATTTTCTATCTGTTAAAACAAAAAAAAACCTCAGAAATTGCCGAATTATCCTTCGTCGGAGAGATTTGATATGATTCTATTATAGTAGGTGACTGCAGTATGCATTCACCAATTAACAGAATACTTTAAATTTTTCTAATTTATCTAGTATGGTCTTTTACGGAAATGTAAAAGACCGTGTTTACAAAACTCAACCAACCATTGTCGAAAACATGAGAGAAATGAGTGTAGCTGCTTTTCGAAGTAGAACTCTACATATACCTTTTAACAAGAATAGTTTTTTTTGACAATTTTATGCAGTGAACAGGATAGAAAACATTTGAGCATTTGATTTCATTATGGGGTTATGGCCTTTTTATGCTTGTGTATACTAAGTATGTTATATTTTAAAGTGTCTTGGTGTATTGTGGTGAATTAGTGTTCTATTTTGCCAAAAAATGTTCATTTTAAAATAATTAAATAAACTAATAAAGCCAATTATGCAGATTATACAGCTGAAACTTTTGATTTTGCTTAGATTTTGTTCTAGTTGTTTTAGATTTAATTGATTATTTACTAATTTTGTTTTCACTTTTTATTTTTACTTACTTTTTATTTTATTTTAAACTTTTCACTTTTTATTTTTACATTATTATTGCTAAATTGGAATAGTTTTTTTAAGTTAACGCAATGATGGGCATATAATATTTTACATAAGATAAAACGTTGCACTAGCGATATCCCGATTTTTTAAATACAAAAGGTGGCAAACCCTGGCCCGGCCACAACAATAATTCGTTGAAACCAGTGGAAACTCTATATGACCGTTCGTGCAAGCCTTACTGACCCTATAGCTCTAAACTCACTTGGCAACAAGTTAACCATCCGAATTAAACTCAAAAACAATAGCAGTATTTTTCAGCCCGGCCCCTCCCCCGCCATCGTCCCTCTCTATTCCTGCCCGGCACTGCCCCCGGGGGGCATGGAAATAATGGGTTATGTATATAATACGGCCGGTCGCGGTGGTGGACAGTGGGGTACGGTAAACAATGGACAGTAAATACGGCTTCGGGTTTTTGTTGCGATAATTTCTTTTTTATTTTGGTCGACGATGATGGTTGCAAGTTTATATTTTTGCGTGCAGGGGAAGTTAATTAAAAAAGGCGTTTGATGTAATTTTATTTGATGTTGATATTGTTTAAAGGAAAATATGCTTTCATGAATATTTTATTAAGTGGAAATGTGTGTAATCTAACTCTTTTCAGGTTATTTTTTTACAAAATTTTAGCTAGCATGGAATTTTTGTTGCGTTTCTTTTTCTTATTGCCAGGTTCAAACCTATCAGCTTTGAATGCCTTATTGAGATTTTAATATTCCTGAGTCTACTTCTAGCCTTGTATACAGGGTAGTCCGAACTGTATTCCGGAAACTTCGCCAGCATATTCTGCAGATTAAAATAAGTAATAAAGTTCGTATAAATGTATGTCCTAAAATGCCTAGTTTCGGAGATACAGGATGTAAAATTACCTTTTTTATTTCGATTTTTGCCAAATAATTTCTGAAGTAACGTCAATTTTTGGATGAAAATTGGTGTCTGGGAGTTTTTTGACATGAGGAATTTGATTTTCATATCAATATGACTCCTATTTATAGAGGATGTCAGCTACATATTATTTAACTGGTTTGAAGAGTAATAACTTTTTGTCCCTACCTGTATAAAACTAGTGAGTTAAAAAATGTACATTTACGACTTTTTTTACATAAAAAAGGCCTCTTGGTAAAAATCGCTACGAGCCATGATTCTCAAGATATTTGGAATCGAAATTGTCAATACCTGTCATCATTGACATAAATTAAACATGTTGACTAAATAGTTATTAGA